AGGAGGAGGGACAAGGAGAAGAAGAAGGAGAAGACGAAGAGGAGAAAAGAAGAAGAGGAAGAAAAGCAGAAGGCAGACGACGGTGACGTATAGTGGAAAGAAGTAGAGCAGAAGACGGCAGCAAAAGGAGGAGAACGAGGAGGAGGAGGAGGAGGAGGAGGACTAGAAAGAGGAAGAAGGAAGCTAGGAGGAAGGACTAGAAGACGTCAACAAAAGGAGGAGGAGCAGGAGGCGGAGGAGGAAGAGCAGAAAGAGGAGGGAAAGGAGGACGAGTAGTAGTAGTAGTAGTAGTAGTAGTAGGAGGAGGAGGAGGACACGATCAAGGGCAGGAAAGCAGAGAGAAAATAAAGTAGAAGGTGGACAGCAGAGAGTGGATTGCAGGACGAGGATGATGATCTAGAAACATTGCGATCGTTAATTAGTCTGTTACTGCCGAGGGCACGTGTGGAGTTTCGTCCTCTTTATCCAACAATGGATATTACTCATCTGATCGACCAACACTCTTTGTACCACTGAGTGATAGCACGTATTTCCCAAGCAGTTCGCCTCTGCCATTCTCTCTCTCTCTCTCTCTCTCTCTCTCTCTCTCTCTCTCTCTCTCTCTCTCTCTCTCTCTCTCTCTCTCTTTCTCTCTCTCTTTTACGGATTGATCGACGCTGGTTTGATCCGCGAGGTGATCACGAGCGGTCAGGACGGACCTGGGCATATCCGACCTCTGCGGAATAGAGATGCATGAGGACCGCATGTCTGACCTGAGGGGAAACTCATCCTAGCACTACCGGTAGCACTTCTTCGCCCGTGCCGTGTGCGGTGTGCGCGGGGAATCAGCGATCGGCAGAGTGCGCGGTGCGCGGGGAATCGTGCGCTTGGGGGATCAACGGTCTGCCATGTGCGCGGTGCATGGGGTATCGTGTGCGCTGGGAGTCAGCGATCGGCAGTGTGCGCGGTGCGCGGGGTATCGTGCGCGCGGGGGATCGACGGCCTGACGTGTGCGCTGTGTGTGGGGTGTCGTGCGCGCGGGGAATCAACGGTCGGCAGTGTGCGCGGTGCGCGGGGGATCAACGTTCTGCCGTGTGCGCTGTGCGCGGGGTATCGTGCGCGCAAGGGATCAACGGCGGGCAGTGTGCGCGGTGCGCGGGGGATTACCGGTCCGGTCTGTGCGCTGCGCGCGGGATATCGTGCGCGCACGGGATCAGCGGTCGGCTCTGTGCGCGGGCGGGGTTGTCACAGGTATATTACCCTGGGGAAGCTTTCGTCTTTTCTAGAAAAGGAAAGAAAAAATAAAAATCTTTTCTTTTCGTGAGGGAGGGCATACTCTCACTAGCACTAGCACCTCCTTTCTTACTTCTGGACGCAATTGCCGCCAGATGCATTCTGGTCCGGCCGTAAATGTGGACAGATACATTTAATACAGTGCTACTGTGAGTACGCCCGGAATTGCGACTGACTGTCTGCTTCTCTACAACGTTGGGATCGTAAGTAGGGACCAATACAGTATCAGCGGATGAGAGAGTGACACGTGGCAAGGGGATAACCCATCAGACAAGGACTCTCTCGTCTTCTTTACCTCTCTTGATCTTCCATCAGAAGTGCGCTCTTCCGGATTTAGTTGATTTGAAGATCTTCATGACAGTCCTGAGCCTTTTTTTTTTTATCTCATTAAGAAAAAGACAGAATTTCTGACATTAAAATATTACATTATTCTGGAAAAAAACAACGTTTTTTTTTTTTTTTTTTTTTTTTTTGGAACAACGTAAATTTCACTGAGCTGTGTGAAGTGAAATATCTCAGAGATGGCTACTTTGACAGCTCATCATGCTGTGGCTGTGGCCGTCGTCGACGTTCAGACGGCGGGCCAGGCGGCTGCTGGAAAGCCACATCATCGCCGCCGCGTGTGCAATTGCGATTACATCGCTTCCATTTCCGCTTCCGCTGCCTCTAGGCGCATCTTGGCGGTGTCCGCGGTCGGGCGCCGACACCAGGTTCGAGCGCCCGCGGAGCTCGTCCCGGTCAGGTCGTCGCAGAATGAGGCGGAGTCGTTGGGACCAGCTCGGCGCGCAATGGAAATTGGAGCAGCTTCCTCTTTTTCTTCCTCGACAGCTGGAGCACGAAATCAGCAGTGGCGGGAAATGTCGTCGACCGGGGTGAAGAGGCGGAAGTCTCAGAGAAGTTTCGTCGGTGCCCCGCGTGCCATTATGCTGAGAGAAAGACCTGTCCCGACGGAAGCAGACACGGCTGCTCGGAGAACAAAGAACGTTAATGGGACCGCACCAAATTCCTCGATGGTGAGTGATCGATCTTACCCAGACTCTACGCTTGTGTGTGTGTGTGTGTGTGTGTGTGTGTGTGTGTGAGAGAGAGAGAGAGAGAGAGAGAGAGAGAGAGAGAGAGAGAGAGAGAGAGAG